CTTCAATATGTCCTTTGATAGTTGAATAAATATGGACTAAGTATAATTTTCATTTTTACTATAGCCGTGTCTCATTTTCTACAATATAATAGGCGTCCATTTTCATACTATAGTATCATCATCTTCCTGTTCCTTACCATCCATTTTCTTAACAAGTATTTACTGTGTTTTCTTAGTATATATTTCTCATCAAACCCTGTTCTACATCCATTTTCTCATAGCTCATCACCGCTCATTTCCTGTATGTTATAGTATAATATCTACTATCCATTTTCGTCTCTACCCTCCATTTTTCTTCAATATGTCTACTATCCAAGTTGAATTAAATATACGGATAAATCTACTGTCCATTTTTTTTTAGATCTACCGTGTCCCTTAGTATGTAGGCGATCATCTACCCTCCCATTCTTCCTGTTACTATAGTATAATATCTTATTCATTTTCTATTTAGTATATGTACTATTCATTTTCTTATTTCTCTCAAGCCCTGTTCTACCATCCATTTTCTATTATAGTATATAACTATTCATATTCATTTTAATATCCATGTTATCTACTAAAATAGTATAATATCTCTCCATTTTCTACTTTTCTTCAATATGTCCATTTTGAACTATTGAATAAATCCATACTAAGTATTTTCTACTATTTTTAGATTTGCCGTGTATCTACTATTCATTTTCTACAATAGGCGATCATGGCCATTTCCCATCTTCCCATTTTCCTTGTATCTACTTATCCAAGTTTAGTGTTTTTTTATTTCACCCAAATAGTATATTTCTATCATCCATTTTCCAATCTCATCAACATAACATTTAAGACTTGATTTCTTAATCTCCATCCATTTTTCTTGTAATATGTCCTTTACTATAGTATAATTGAATAATTTTATACGGAGTTAATATGTTTTCATTTTTTAGATGCCGTGTCATTTGAGTATGTAGTAATATCTACTATTCATTTTTACATAGTATAACATCTCTTCATTTTCTACTTATGTAAGCTCTTAACAAGTTTAGTGTATTTTCTTATTTTCTCAAACCCTAATATCTACCATCCATTTTTCTCAAGTATCATCAACTATTCATTTTCTATTACTTAATATGTATTTTTTCTCTCCCTATTCATTTTCTTCAATAATATGTCCTTTGAAGTTGAATAAATATACGGAGAAGTAGTTTTCATTTTTAGATGCATTGTCCCTATGTATAGTATACTATCTACCATCATTTTCTATTATAGTATATCATATTCATTTTCCTCCTATCATCCGTTCATTTTCCTTGTAGCTCTTATTCATTTTTATAGTGTTTTCTATTATTTTCTCCCAGTTAATAATATCTACCATCCATTTTCTCAAGCTCATCATTTATGTTACGATATCTACCATCCATTTGATTTCTTCTCTCTATCTTTTCTTCAATATGTCCTTTGAAGTTGAATAAATATAGGGAGAAGTGTTTTCTTTTAGATGTATAATATGTCCCTCATTTATGTAGGCGATCATTGCCCTCCACATCTTCCCTGTTCCTTCCATCCATTTAGCTCTTAACAAGTTTAGTGTTTTTTATTCATTTCTCCCAAACCTGTTCTACCATCCATTTTCTCAAGCTCATCAACTATGTTGCGACTTGATTTCGTCTCTCCTCTTTTTCTTCAATATGTCCTTTGAAGTTGAATAAATATACGGAGAAGAGTTTTCTTTTTAGATGCTATTCATTGTCCCTTGAGTATGTAGGCGATCTAGTTGGCCCTCCCATCTTCCTGTTCCTTGTGGCTCTTAACAAGTTTAGTGTTTTTTTTTATTTCTCCCCAAACCCTGTTCTACCATCCATTTACTCAAGCTACTATGTTTACTCCTTTTTCCTCTGTCCTGTGATTATCGGGTTTTCTAAAGCCCTCTTTTCTCAATAGGTGCCTCAAATTTTTTGCTTTTTTCTTGATGTTTAGTTTAAATTTCCTTTTTGTTTGTATTTTCTCTAAGAACCACGTCGTTGCTCAAATGTTCGGTCCACTATCCCTTCAGCATCTGTTGGCTTTGCTACAAGTCTCTTCTTCACCGTTGAAGGGAATGTCCAGAATTCGCTGCTATACAGGTGGACAGATATCCTGTAACATTTCAATACACTTTTTCTTTGTATGTAACAAAATTTTGTATGTTTTAATTCGATGCTTAACTATTGTAATATGCATCTTTAGCCATCTGTTGTGACCAAGTAAATGGTTAAAGAAATAACAAAACAAGTGCTTCAGGCATATCATATATTTTTTCTAAGTACAACAGTAGAGTATTACACGACTAGTGAGTGTGTGTAGCTTGACCCAGCTTTCAATCTATTCGACTGTTTATATTTAATTCCCTCGAACGAGGGTGTTTGCAAAAAGGACTTTTATTTTAGGTACTCTCCCGTAGTCCTGTATAAAAATATTCCCTTTGAACCCACCTAAATGGGTTCAGGAACATCTACCCTCATCGGACGAAACTTTCCCTGCTCTTTTCTTCATTTTGTCTTATTTCGCCGAGGCAAAGTTGTTCGACAAGAAATGAACAGTCTATCGACTGTTCCTATTTACCTTCTCTCCCTACTAATCTTATAGTAGGCGGAAGAGTCAACATAGACTCTTTACCGTGAGTTTGCCACCCTTACCATCCCAATACTTCTTCGCATCTCAGTTTTCTTGCTTTTAGGTACTCTGGCAGTTTTTTTTCAGATATTTAATTTTTTGTACCCTTGATTTTAGTAACCCCAAATTTTAATTTGCATTTTGGTCTCATCTTTTTGCTTCAATGTATTCTGTCATCTGTAGTTAATAACTTAGATGTTTTCTTCTCGTTTTTTTTTTCTTTGTGTTCTGTTGGAGTTTTTGAGCTTCCCTTAAATGTCTGCTATCAGCATTGTCTTATTATCATATCGTATATTGTTACGATTGTAACCACCAATAATAAATTCTACTAGGACTTCAATTCTCTGAGAATTGCTTCTCAGTATACGATAGAATTTATTTATGAATCTGAAAATAAACATTAGCGTTCTTTGATATAATATGAAACCCTAATGTTTTAGAACCAAGTGGTTATCGTACGTCTATTTATAAAAATGATCTCATAAACTTCTATTTACAACATAACAACAAATTACAATCCAGAATTGCTATCGGTTTATATTTAAGAGCATTTATATTTGCAGACCTCAATATTTACAAGACTAAGAGAAACACATTGAAAATAGTTTAAAATATTCTGCAATAATCTAATATGAATTCTACTAGGACTTCTAATTCTCTGAGTATTGCTTCGCAGTATACGATAGAATTTATTTATGAATCTGAAAATAAATATTAGCGTTCTTTGATATAATATGAAACCCTAATGTTTTAAAACCAAGTGGTTATCGTACGTCTATTTATAAAAATGATCTCATAAACTTCTATTTACAACATAACAACAAATTACAATCCAGAATTGCTATCGGTTTATATTTAAGAGCATTTATATTAGCAGCCCTCAGTATTTACAAGACTAAGAGAAACATATTGGAATTAGTTTTAAATATTCTGCAATAATCTAATTATTTCATATTTAATGATTGCCACAAAGCTCAACGTATTCCTAACACAAGGAAAATAACCATATAAATAAACTCGATATCATACAAGTCTAGTCTGAATGTGTGTTTTTATCTGTATTTTCTATTTTCATCTGTTTGATCATCATATTCAAACACCTGTTACCATGTAATTTCACCACAGTTAGTAACGTGTCCATTTCTCAAATTCAAGGTGGGTGACCCTTGAGAATACCTTTCCCTCTTAAAATTCGATATTTGTGGTGTAGTGGATAATGGCTCAGAAATATAAATGAACACCGATTCCCGTTTCAATCAGTCCATTATGTTCACTTACGCGCAAATGCCTATGGAAAACTCCAGGTCTTAATCTTATTCCTCAGTTTTGGGATAGTTAGTCAGATTTTTATCACTAAAACCGTTATTATCTGCAAAGGAATTATAGAACTGCGTATAAAACTACAGGGTGCGATGGGTAAATTGTCGTCATTAATATTTTTAACTACGCTCATGCGCTTCGTTTGTTTTGATTTTGTCGACTGCATCTTATATTTGGGTTCGTCGGGCGCCGCCTGTGAGAAAGAGAGAACCATGACGCAATTCACTTCGTCAGAAATTTGGAAACAACATTTGTACTTTTAATAAACGCGCAGGAGGCTCAAATGCGAACATTTCAGTGTGTTTGCGTGTCAATCCGAGGACAATATGAAGAAGATTAGAAAAGAGTTGGATGAATCTAATGGTGATTACGAAGGTACAGCTGCCTGGAAAAACGCGCTTTGTTCGTTCTGATTAGAAAAGAAGAACCGAATTTCTTGGTGATAACCTCAGACTCAACACGGACACATACAGGCTCTAGGCGAAGTTGGTGTCTGCTGGAAGACCCTATATCTGATAACAGGACTCTGCCACTTGCAGCACAAGCAGGAGAAAATCGCCATGGCTGTCAGACAATTTCTGCGACCACATCACCCCTTACGTCTGGCCATCGAACTCCGCAGACGCCCTTTATTATGTGTGGGATGCAGTCGAGTCAGAGGCCAACAAAACTCCTTGTAATACGAAAGATAAACTGAAGACAAGGGTTATGGCAGCATAACCAACTTTAACAAAGAGACCTTACAGAAGACTCGCAGGAGATTCCGAAGTCATGGTTGAAGCCAATGACGATTTTACTGAATAAATCTACTCTTAAGTATTTCAAAATATTTTAGTGTAATTTTGGTAAATATATCTGTTAACATGAGATATCAGTGTTAATTTCCTTTTTGCATAATTTAGACGACAATTTATCTATCGCATACTGTATTTAGTTTTCGGCATTAATTAATCCATAGCTAAACAAACGACCAAGCAAGTAAACCTGTTTCATGCCTTCCAGTCACCATTATTCATCTTTTTCTAGACTTGTATTCATTTCTTTGATTTTCCAAAATGTTATTCATTCCTTCCTTATTGAATTCTCATTTGTCTTCATTTTTTTCATTGATCGATTCTTTGCGCTTTCTAATTTTTATACTATTTTAGTAAGTTTCACAAATATTAGAGACATTTTCGAATTGTTTTCCTTTGACTGGTTTCACTTAGAGGAAGCCAGAAAATAACATCTTTGCCTTATATTAAGATTCTGTCGGATTCTCATCAAATTTAATATCTTTCTATTTATTTAATTTAAGCTGTTCATATCTATCTATCTATCTATCTATCTATCTATCTATCTATCTATCTATCTATCTCAAACTATTTATATCTATCTATCTATCTATCTATCTATCTATCTATCTATCTATCTATCCCGTCCCATCTATTTATCTCTATCTATCCCAACCAATTCATATCTATCTATCTATCTATCTATCTATCTATCTATCTATCCCAAACAATTTATATCTATCTATCTATCTATCTATCTGTTTCATTCTATATATCATTTATCTATCTATCTATCTTTATATCTATCTATCTATCTATCTATCTATATTATCTATCTATCTCAACCTATTTATATCTATCTATCCGTGCAATAATCCTATCTATCTATCTATCTATCTATCTATCTATCTATCTATCCCATCCCATCCCATCTATTCATATCGATCTATCCTAACCAATTCATATCTATCTATCTATCTATCTATCTATCTATCTATCTATCTATCTATGCTTTCGTTTATTTCCCCTCTTCAGCCTCTAGTTTATTATTTGCATTCTTTTTCTACTGACCCTCGCATCTGCTCCTTCTTCTTGTTAATCTCTCTCTCTCCGCCTGTCTTTCGCCTTCATCACGCTTTTCATTAGCCATCTTTTTCTGTGAATAATTCTCTCCCTCTTTCCACTTGTCAAATCTCTCCCTTTTCTTTCATTTAACACCGATCATTTCTCTCTTTCCCGATCTCATATCTCATGTTTCTCTCATTCTAACAAAATCATCTCCTTCAATATTTCATTCCTTTCTCACTGTCTTTATTAAATCCCACCCTTCCGTATCTGTCAGTCGCCTTCTTTGTTTAACGTGTCTCCTTTCGAAAGGACAAACGATGCAATTTGTCCTTTGGCCGTTTTACTTGATAATATCGTCTGCTTCTTGAAATTATGAAAAAAAGCATACTTTCAGACTTTCGACGGTCGGGTAGGGTAAACAAATCAGTTTTTTAAGATCCAGTAAAACAGTTTTGCTCTTAATTATCAACTGACAGCGTCACAGTTGGAATCTCTTTCGTCGGGAGGTTCATTATTGTTTCTGGTACACCCACGTGTAGTTTCATCCCCATCGCCATATTAAAATTATATTCATTGATTTCTTCGTTTGTCCTGGGTGGATTTAATCAGTCATTTTCCTAACCGGCAATGATAGGAATCCTCTTTATTTTGATGCGAGAATTAAGAACTTGGCAAGGAATTCATCTCAGTCATATCATCTTGTCTAAATAAAAAAAAAAAAAAAAAAATGACGTGGCATTAATTTGTAATAAATTTTATTCAGACAGATACTGGTTATCAGTTAGTGTTTCATCGGCTTCATTTATATGTCTTGGCGCTTCTAGACTTTTGCGATAGTGGCTCTCCACATTATCCTGTTGTTATGGGGCTGCGTGTTTTTGGCCTGTGTATATCATTTGTATAATAAATGATTCAAGACAACAACGAAACTCCAAATGTGAATCAACAAGTATACATTGAAATAACATACACGAACGAAATATACAATAATGTGTATTCAATGTATAGATTAAGGGAAAAGAAGTTCCTTCCCTTTTACCGTATTTTGATTTGTAATTAATTGTTCGAAAGAAAGTTCTCGTGAGAGAAAAATGTTCAGGAATCAATATTAGAACAAAGGACTGTTTGCGGAATAGATAACACAAGAATACAATTGATCAGAAAGTGTGTTGTGTTAGAGAAATCAACAGAGTCCTGGTTGATTGAACTTGGCTGAGACACAGAGAGATATGTATATATGTATTACAAAATTCTGTGTCTGTGTATGCGTTTCAAATGTCGTGAGTAAAGTCATAGGTTTGTGTTGACAGGCGAAATTTGCTGGACTCTACTGTCGACTTGCGAAAACGTTGGTAAGAGTTGCTGGCAATGTTCTTTAACGTCTGACCGCGCGGTAAAGACGGGAGCTCTTGAAAACTACAGGCAGCAAGGATAAAGATGAACAAATGGACCGAGAGAGGCTTATTTGTGTTTTGTCTATATAAGGTTGTGCCTCTCGTGACAGGCTCCCAGCCTTGTGCGCGGGAAATCTTATTACTCGCGTGCAGGCGACCAGATTGGTGGGAATTGACCAATCAGCGAGCTAGTTTTGCGGAGATTAGCCAATGAATGCTTATCGTATGATCTGTATGTATGTATGTGTGTGTGTGTGTGACGGCGATGATGATTGCTACACTGTCTTTTGTTTTTTAATCCCCCCCCTCTTTTTGGCATCGTTCCATGCGCCGAAACTCGTTCAGTGGTGGAATCGGCTTTTAGCCCGTCTTAACTCAGTTTGTGCTGTGAGTGTAAAATTCTCGATACCCCTTCTCTTCATTATGGATCAATGGTTAACGCGACCATATGACGGTGAAACGCCCGATCACCGAAGTGCGCTAGCGTCTGTCTTGGTCAGTACCTAGATGAGTCCCCATTTCGGAATACCACGAGCTCTAAGCTTGAATGGGCAGGCGGTTTAATGGATCGGAATGAGAACAAGGTTAGCTGAGTTCGAATTCCAGTCTGGCTCGTTACTTTCACTCACACGGAAATAAAAATTCCAATGAATCCAATTCTTCCCCCATATATCGGTTAAATAGTAGAACTTCTATCTGAAAATTATTATTATCTCCCCCCAAAACTGATTACACAATATTCACTTGCAATAAAAATACCTTGTTCATTTCTGCTGTAAATAACTTACAACAGTTTGATATGTCAATTTACCTTCTCATTGATCACTTATTCCCTCTAGGTCTCAGCGTTAATCAGTTGAATCTCTCAGGCATAGCCACTCGTATCAGAGGATGCATGTCTACTAGGGCTCCTAGCAAATCCCTGTTACAGATGCATGCCCGGGAACCTTTGTGATTCTTAACTTGGTTACAGTTTCTGAGAGAGAGAGAGAGAGAGAGAGAGAGAGAGAGATGTATATATGTATTACAAAATTCTGTGTCTGTGTATGCGTTTCAAATGTCGTGAGTAAAGTCATAGGTTTGTGTTGACAGGCGAAATTTGCTGGACTCTACTGTCGACTTGCGAAAAAGTCGGTAAAGAGTTGCTGGCAATGTTCTTTAACGTCTGACCGGGCGAGAGAGAGAGAGGAGAGAGAGAGAGAGAGATAGAGAGTACATTATCTAGCTTGATCAATAGCTTTAACAAGAACAGCACCGTAAAACTCTCGGTCACAATAACTTGTGATTTCGTGCTAGCACAAACAGAGTTCCATCTGCCCAATATCCCACAAAAGGCTTAGGTCAACGCGTGCTATGGCTTCCAGGCACCTTTCAAACGTTTAACCCGCTGGGACCGCCTCCTCTAGACAAATACCATCAAGTCACCTTCCTGACAAATCGACCCGGGTCGGAAAGCGAATATTCTAACCACTAGGACACATGTCCATAGTCTACCATTCCGTATAAGAAATTGTTTGTTGAACGGCATATCAAGTGCTTACGGGTCATTTAATGCCGAAATTTAATTTTTTTGGGATCATGAATACTACAAAAATCTATTACTGGTAATTTTTTTTACCAAAATCTGATAATTTATTCTTTCATTTATTTTTTTAAAGTCTTTATATTTTTTTACCCCAGTTTGGGGGATGAACTACTTGCACATAACTGGGACCCTAACAGGTGCTGCCACCGGTCAATTTAGACCTGGGGCCAACAATTAAGAGGTGGTCCTCGATCCTCAAATCCTCCAGATCAGAGGACTTGCTGCTGGATGTAGTTTATCGTCATACATATAACATATTAGATATTACAGAAGTCCAATCCTTTTTTCTTAGTTCGTATCTTATTTCTTTGCTTATTTTCCCTAAACCTTCTTTTGTTATTCATCTCTGACATTCTAATCGTACGTCCCATTGTACTTCTTTTTTTCCTTAAAAGTTTCTCATTTCTCAAATGAATGTGCTTGGTTTAGTTTGGCTTGATTGGTTTTACAGCATATCAACATCAATGGGTTATTTAATGCCGACAAATTATTATTGTGGGCGTTTCTTTTCAAAAATTTATTGATGGTGATTTTTTTTTCAATAATGTATTGCTGGTAAATATTTTTCAAAAAAATTATTGCCAGTATTAAAACATATTTTTATACTTTTATAGGTTTTCAAATATTTTTAGGGGGTTAACTATAGCTCATAACTGGACCCTGACAGGTGTTATCACCCCAGGTCAGGGTGGACCCGGGAACACCATCAATTAAGAGGTGGTTCCACGCTCCTCAAAACCTTCTAGTCAAAGGCCTTGTTGTCAGATATAATTTATCGTCTCACCCAGGACGCGGATGTAGTTTATCCTCTTCAGACTTCACTTTCAAAGGTGAAAAGGAGAAATATATATATATATATATATATATATATATATATGAGAAAGAACAGATAGAGTAAAATTACACTGTTCGTAGAATTCGCTTTTAAGAATGTGCTCAATGCAAAGTAGAGCAATATATACCATTATTTTTATTATAAGAGATTATAATAACAACATGTTGAAATCGCTAAAAAAAAGTTTTCATGTTTCAATATAATGATTGTACTTCTTCAGGTGATGGTAAGTAGCTGTCGATTTAATGACATCTTAAGAAAATTAAAAAAAAAATACCATGAGTTACCTAATTTCCGAGGATTAAATGTGGGCGAAATATTTTCAGAATTAAAGATAGGCTTCTGGTTAGGGCTTGATTAAACAATTAAATGTCAGATCTATGCCAAGTAAAAAAGTAAGCTTAGAGGGTGGAGGGGTTAAGTTATTTTTTTCATGTCATGATAAACTGGAACATAGACAGGGCATCATTGACGATTGCAGAAAATATGTCAACGATAAATGTATCGTGATTATATACAAATACGACGTTCAATTTTTTTGAAAGGGCGTTGTAGGGTTTAGGATAAATAGTAAAGTTAACAGAAAAATTTAATTTTTTTTTTTTAATCATATATATATATATATATATATATATATATATATATATCTTGTGCAATGTTACATTAGAGCACTGTTTTTAAATTACTTACTGTTCGTTCTCCTACACTTTGTGATACCGTTCTCAAAGTGAGTAAAAATATTTGCGTTCTTATATATATATATATATATATACTTTTGTTTTGGTTTTAAAATTATTTTGTTACCTATTATATATATATATATATATATATATATATATATATTCTTGTTTGAATATACGCTCTTTTAGCGCTAGAGCGCGTCGTCAGTGATGTTCTGGAGATGGATCATTGGGCAGTTTCGGGTCTTTCAAACATCATACTGACCTCACCAAATAAACCCCCTCTTTTAATTGATCAGACTTTTGAATTTTCTAAAAAATGCTTGTAGACACTTACTTCTATAAATATATTGGTTAACACACATTTGATTGGAGATTGATAACAGCCAAATCATTAACGGTAATTTTATCTAAAATCTATTTTAAGCAGTTTTTTTTTTTTTTTTTTTTTGAAGTGGACAAACCTTCATCGGATACTTAGAAGGTAATTATGTTTTAAAATTTTTTTTACTTGTTATCAAGTTTTCATTTCAAAAGCTAATAATTACTATTTACAGAGAAACAAAAATACGGCCATTAAAATT